TCGATACCTATATAGACAATATCAATACTTGCATTTACGACTATTATCAATATACCGGTATACTTTATACATGTGTATCGATTCTTTGTGTGTGCAAATTGTTGAAGCTTATTGGACTAAAAGTATCGATACTTGATCTTTACGCCTATTATCATTAAACAAGTAGACTTTTATTGTTTACATTGTAAATTTACCTATAACTTTAAAGTAATCGATTCTTTATACATGTGTATCGATATTTTTTTGTGTGCAAATTATTTGAGATGCATATTGGAATAAAAATATCGATTCTGGAATAATAAGTATCGATACTTTATGTTTACGCTTATTATCATTAAACTGGTAGCTTTTTACCGTTTACATTGTAAATTTACCTATTACTTTAAAGAAATAGGTTTCAAAATTCTAAGTACCGATACGTGTTATGAATTTATCGATACTTTGTGCGTGCAAATTGTTTGAGATGCAAACTGGAATAATAAGTATCAATACATTATGTTTACGCCTATTATCATTAAACCGGTAGATTTGTTATCGTTTACATTGTAAATTTACGTATTACTTTAAAGTAATACGTTTCAAAATTGTACGTATCAAACTTTGTTGTCGAAATTATAAAAATCGATACTTTAATAATGTGTATCGATACATTTGCATGCAAGCATACTGAAATTTGGAGTAGGTGTACAACACTTTAATAACTAGTATTGATGTTTCAACAATCCTCAAATATAAAATACAAATACTTGTAGTATGGGTATCAATACAGAAACGTAAGTATGGATACAAAAACTATGCAATTAATGTTTCAAAATTAATATTGTCGATACTTGGAGTAGGTGTATAATGTTGTAATAACTAATTCATCTTCTATCAAATGATATGGAGCAATCAACCAACAACTCTTCAGAAAATCCCGACCAATCAACCAACAATGCTTCGGAGATCAAATGTTGTGATATATTCGGAGCAATAAACCAATATGAAACGCGAGGAAAATCCCGACCATCATAATTTTGAGGCACAAGCTAAAAGATTGAATATGTGAAGAATGTCTTCCTGATCGAATCCATTTTATCCAACTCATGAAGATAGGATAACCGTAAATCGAAACCATCTAAGAGAAATATAGCTGATGTAGAAGCATATACATATTTAAAATCTCGAAGGCGATGCATCTGGTTCTCAATTATTTAATGCATCAGAAGCATATCAGACTTATGATTTGGGTGCTACACGGGAAATACAACCAAATACAACCAAAATTCTCGAGAATTGAACAATACATCTTTTAATAATAATGTTAAATAATGGAATATACACGCGGAAATAACAAGTGTATGTACTTGAAATTTTGAAATCTATTACTTTAAAGTAATAGGTAAACTAACAATATAAACGGATAAAAGTGTTACAGTATAATGAAAATAGCCGTAAATGACAAGTGTCGATACTTGTCATTTACGCCTATTTTCATTACACTGATAGACTTTTACCGTTTACATTGTTAATTTAGCTAAGTATCGACACTTTATATATGTATATCCTTCAATTTTTTATTATTATTACAAGTTGTAGCCATCAATTCTCGGTATTTTTGGTTGCCCTTGGTTGCATTTCCCCTATACAACCCAAATCATAAGTCCGAAACGTTTTTGACACTTTAACTGTTTGAGAACCAAATGCATCGCCATCGAGATTTTAAATTTGCATCTGCTTTTACATCAGGTATATTTCTATTTGACGGATTCGATTTACGTTTATCCTATATTCATGAGCTGGATAAAATGGATCTTGTCGTAACCGATTTTAGCCCGGTATGACGTTTCTTGGGGAAAACAAGTAAATAAATGGGTTTTAATGAAAATAATGGAGTCTCCATCGACCTTTTGGGTTAGGTATGTCGAATACCTAAAAATCACCTTTTAAAAGAGTTTTCAAGAAAACATCATTTTAAAAGATAAACCAGTCTACTTATAACCAGAAATTCATTCTTTTTAGTAATAAAAAGGGATTCGGAGTCAATTACGCGTGGGGAAGGATTAGCACCCCTACAACTCCCAAAATTGGTACCCATCGATTATAAATTGTCTCTAATAATGGAAATCTAAGAATTCAAATATAAATTTAAGTTGCGATTCTATTATTCCAAATTCAATCGTATAATTTTATGTAACGGGAAATTCTAAGGAGAAATAGAAAATATTCCAATAATTCAAATCAAAGAGAAAATAATCCCTAAAATACTTTAAGACGAATATTTCTCTTTCTAACTGAAATAATAAGAATATAATAATTCCTCCCAAGAACTCAATATTAAAATAATTTGATTCACCCAAAATGAATATAACAAAAGTAGGCATATTTGATTTTTTTAGGTTTTTCTAAGTAGGGTATTTATTTATTTAACATATCAGAATAGGACATCTAATTACTTTAAGACAATCATTTCATAATATTTGAAAATAATTAAATGCTACCCTTTATTCCCATTATGAAATCGGTCAAGTTATGCTTATGAGTCTTTCATATATGTATTCATGTAACTAAAATGAAATAAATAAAAAAGAGCAATAATTAAATGACTATATTTGAAGTATTGAAACATAAAGGACAATAATAAAAAAATCCAAAATTGCAATTAAACAGTGACCAAGCTGCAAAAGTAAAAACTATAGCATCACGTTCATAAAAAACAGAATTAATTAATGACTAAAATGAAACAAAATATAAATTAGCATATAAAAATCGAAAATAAAATAAAGATATAATATCAGTGACCAAACTAAAAAAAACCTAAACTAAGAGGACTTATGGGTGATTAACCCACAAACTTGTGACTTAAATATAAAAACATGCTAAAGGTCCAGTGACCTTAGCGTGATTTTCCCTTAAAACTAAATTAAACTATTCAGTGATCAAAACGCACAATGCAGTAAACATAGGAGGACTTAAACGTGATTTACCCCTAAGAACGGTGATCGAAGTGTAAAAACACGGTAATTGTTTGGGGACTTGGATGTGATTTGCTCAAAAACCTAGTCTATATAAACATATTTTTCTCCCTTTGGCTAAAATAACAAACCCTAGCCACTAAACATTCCTCTTTTCTTCTTTTTCTCTACCGAGAGATAAAAAAATCTCTCTTCTTCTTCTTTCACACCCGGTCGAGAACCACAAAAACCCCTACACCAACTACCATTTCGTTACCCTCATTACTCCAGCCACCGCTCTTTCCAACCGAAAGAAGCTAAAACACTCTTTAATCTAACCTAAACCCCAAGGTTTTCTCTATTCATCTTCCTCATTTTCTTTAAATTGGAGCCTCCAACCCCCACAAAAGCCATGATTCGGCCGCAAAAGCTCTCCGACCACCATCACCGGTGGTCGGACTACCAATATGAACCCCTATGACTCTCTAGCTTTCTCTCTTTTAACCATAAACTCAAAAGCAATACCTCTAGTCCACATGCAAAACCCTTTCAAGCACTAAACTGGCCCATATGGATCTCAACGACACCAACTCCGGCGAAGCTACAACCCGGACTAAGGTAAACGTTTTCTTCTCTCTTCTGTTTTTTTTACTTAATTATTGTTTTTATTTCGGGAAAAATAAAATAAAATATAAAGCTAAAAAAAATAAAACCAAATGTAAAATAACCTTTGCTGTATTTTTCTTTTCAATTTTTCTATGTATTGATGCCAGATTATGGGGTTCACTTTATATACTGTTATGGGGTTTTTATAACCCCAGTTTACATGTAAAATATAAAAATCTACATTATTTTTTTACTTTGTGATGATGAGCTGAACATGGGTGTAGAGCATTGATGGTCACGGGTGGAGCTGCCGATGATGTGGAACAAATGAAACCACGGGTATGGCGGCTATGCTGGAACGATGAAGGGCATTTGGCTCCTACTGGAAGTTGCTAGAAGCCACATGTGGAGGGACAACTGGTGAGAAATTTACTGAAATGTGGAGCAAGGGAGTCCACGGCTTAGTTGGGGTGTTGGCAACTGCAGTGTGGAGTGGAGAACCAGCTGTCGTTGCTAGAAGCTACTGGAACGTGGAGTTACTAGCGGATGCTAATTGTAGCGAAGAACCAGCTGGATTGAGGTAAAAATGGTGATTACAAATCCTATTTGAAAGGCATTCTTCACACATCTAATCTTCTAACTTGTGCCTCAAAATTATTATGATCGGGATTTCCCTCGCGTTTCATGTTAGAAAGAAACAACGAAAATTAGGATTAATAAATGATAACATGAAAATTGTCTAAGTTAATAAGGAAAGAATCTTACAAATGACATTTGATGTTACCTCCCGATGCAATGAGCATGTTGTTGTTTGAAGGGAACAAAGGTTGAAAGAGCTCATATTTATAGTGGAACTCAAATTGAAATTGAAATTCAAAACTGCTTAAGTGTTTACTACTGTTCAAATAACATGTGTTATCAGCCAAAAAGCAGGGGACTAAGGATACGAAGGTTTATGCACCAAGTTTTGTTAACTTGAATATACTCCCAGAAGTTATGCAGATGGCACGATTCATTTCTCTACGTACAAGGTATTGATACTTTATAGGCGATTTTATTGCAATTCTTTTGAATCACTAAAGTGCTGATACTTTTATACATATACTTATAAAGGTATCGATATATGTCTATTTTTAATCGGTTTTCATCACTTTCTTATATATTACTATATATATCGATACTTCTGTGCACGATATCGATACCTACCGATAAGCTAAATTTGTTGTCAATTTTTTTAATATTTCTTCATGTTTTTCACTTACGACATTATTATTACTCAATATTTTTAATAGCGCTAAATCAAATTTGTTAAACATCTTATTAAATTTCCGGTTACACCGTTTCTTAATCGTATATTAATTTATCTTTCATGAGATAATCCCCAAATTAGGTCTTTGGTCTATGCTTGGGGACTTTCCCGCCGTTTGGCTACACCACTTTCCTGCCGCCCAATCATAAACGTTTTTTTTCTCTCTCTCGCTCTGCGCTTTTTCCCTCACTCCTCCTTTCTTTCCTTTAGAAAACTATAGATCAAATACATTTTCTGATCTACTACACTCCGATCTCCCCCTGCATTTACACTTTCACTATTCTCCCGTACTTGCGAAATGAAGCTTCGATCGCGGAAAAGGATCTCCAACCTCTCTGACAGTGGTAAAACTATTGCCCTCTCGACTTTTTCTTTTTCTTTTTCCATGGCTTAGGGTTCTCTTCCCTTTTATACATTACTATTTTCCCTCTTTTTTCTTATGGAAACGGTGGTGAGCTTTACGCTCCCTGCACCTACTTTCAATTTTTTAGGGCTTCGCCGTTAATTTTTACTTTACTGGATGGCTGGGTCTAACATTTTTTTATTACTGTTATAATTTGGAATTATGTTAATCTTGAAACAGATGAGCACAGCGACCCTTCTGACAAACCCGATGGTCCTATTATGTTGGCCTCTCTCTCAGACTCAGAAATATATGTGCCTTCGTCCGACTCTGATATAGGTACTTTTTCTTCGATTATCAGATAAGAAATCTTTTTATTCCCTTTCCATCTTGGTTTTTTTTTTTTGCATTTATTTTGTGATCTTGATATACAATAAAATTATTATATGGTTGTAGGGGAAGATGAAATTTTGGACTTAAATCATAAAACAAGGAAACCTTCTCGTATCACCGTTTATGATTTTGTTGAGCCTTCAACAAACAGAGGCAACGATGAGCAGGAATTGCCTGAGCAAAATGAAGTCAGTGGTGACTTTAATGTGTCGAGCCCAAAGAAGAGAAAGAATGCAAAAAGGAGAAAGAGAAAGAAGTCCGGGGAAGTGTTAATGTGGGAAGTTTGGGAAGAAGAGCATGAGAAATGGGTTGACGAGAATTTGACAGTAGATGTTGATCTTGATCAACAGAATGCAGTCATAACCGAGACTTCTGAGGCATCTTCCGACTTAATTATTCCTTTGTTGAGATACCAAAAGGAATGGTTGGCCTGGGCTCTGAAGCAGGAAGACTCCGAAATCAAAGGGGGAATCCTTGCAGATGAGATGGGAATGGGGAAGACGCTTCAAGCAATAGCCCTTGTCCTTGCCAAACGGCAATTCCTCCATGAAATCGGCGATCCCAATGGTTCATCAGTGACCTCAGGTTCGTCAACAGATTTGCCCAGGATCAGATGCACCCTTGTTATTTGTCCGGTTGTTGCTGTGAGTCAGTGGGTAAGTGAGATTGATCGGTTTACTTCTAGGGGAAGCACTAAGGTGTTGGTTTACCATGGTGCCAACAGAGGGAAAAATATGAAACTGTTCTCAGAGTATGATTTTGTAATAACAACTTATTCTATTGTTGAGTCCGAGTATAGGAAATTCATGATGCCGCCAAAGAGTAAATGCCCATTCTGTGGGAAGTCATTTCAGGAAAAGAAGCTCTCTGTTCACTTAAAATATTTCTGTGGGCCTGATGCTGTTAAAACATTAAAGCAGTCTAAACAAGAGAGTAAGAAATCGAAATCTATGCTTAAGTCAGGCAGAGAACATGCTAGTAATTATGATACTGATTCGAGAAAGAAGGGTAGCAAGAAGAAAGCAAAGCATATTGAGGAAGACAAAGATGTTGAATATGAGTTTAATGGAACTTCTGCAGACATAGAACATAGCTTGCCTCAAGGAAAAGCACCTCTACATTCTGTAAAGTGGGAGCGCGTCATCTTGGATGAGGTGAATCATAGCATAATTATTATCTATTGAAAAAATGGGAATATACTCCATCTTTAGCTTCATTTATTCACTAGAATTTTTTTAACACTTCGAAAATAAAATAATGGGAGTTTCATCTCAGGATATATAATATACGAGAAATTCTGTCCTACTAGAATTTGTCTAACACTTCATAAAATGTGTTACACCTTTCCTCCGCTGTCGGTATCAGTTGATGCTTCCTGTGGATGGAAGAAAAACATAATTTTAGAATGAATACTGTTAATAAACAGCAATTTTTTATTTATCGACACAGGCTCATTTTGTGAAAGATAGACGTTCTAATACTGCAAAGGCTGTTCTTTCCTTGGAATCCTTGTACAAATGGGCTTTGAGTGGCACTCCTCTACAGAATCGTGTTGGAGAACTATACTCTTTGGTAAGTAACGTTTGTCTAGAAATTGAATTGCAATTAAATTGAATTGCAATTTCAAGTTTTTATTTTGTTCCTTATCTGTTTTCCATTGCATTCCACAGGTTCGTTTCTTGCAAATAGTTCCATACTCCTATTACTTGTGCAAAGATTGTGACTGCAGAATTCTTGATTACGGGTATGGGTTGTTACTGAATTCTGAAATTTTTTATGCTATGTTTGATCCTGATTTAATTTCACAGCAAGTCACAGAATGTTATTGCCAATTCCCTTTGGACATAGAGTTTTAACTTGTAGCAATCAGATCATCCAACTTAAAGATTGTAACATAATTAATAACTCTGTCAATGACTGCTATAAGTTCATTGATGGAATGTTTGTTATTCATTTCAGTTCCCATGTGTGTCATATTGAACCCTTCTTTCATTTGTTCTTTACTTATCTTAAATATTCACATTCTTCTTTTTTTTGATAGAAGTTGGAGGTCTCATTAAAAACTCCCTTCGTATTCTTCCACATACTTAGAAGTATGTTGAAGAACAAGGAAGGGAGAAAAGAGTGCCTCATATTTTATTAAATATAATACTAAGTACATGAGGTAACACCAAACCCACATGCGGGAATAAACACCAATACAACCCATATCACCTAGAAATCTTACATCGTCAACCAAAAAGCCCCTAAATCACCTCAAGATGTAAGATAACATAACAAAAAAACCAACAATTACAACCACAAACTTAAAAACGCCTCTGAATACAGCAGCCGAACAATCACAACCCAATTGGAGGATCAAGTTCTAAAGAAATATCGCAATCTTCAGGAACCCAAGAATTAGGTTTGAAGGAAGGATCAACTTCATGCACCAAGATTTTGAATAAATGATCCCCGACCTTCAACTCCAACAACTCATTAATTCTCACTTGAGCGTTTGTGAGTATTTGGATTTTAGCCCGATCAAAAGACGAAGGGAACTCACAACTGTTATCGATTGCTATTAACTTGCCCCACTTAGTAGCTATGTTTTTGAAAGTATCCCAATTCCAAGCGTGAAAAGGAATACCTTCGCAAACTAGCCAAACGCGCCGGCTCTCCACCACAAGGCTCTCAGACCAAGTTTCCACTCTGGAAAACCATTCTGCAAGAGTTTCTAACTTTTCATCCTTCACGCATCTCAACGAATTAGAATCTTCAAAAACCATTAGAACTACATTTCCAGCAGCTCTCATAAGCGTGAAACCCGCTAGTCCTTTGGCTTGTATTTGGTTAGCAAGATTACCAATCTTGATAAAGTTCTTGCACCACCCCACAAGACAGTTAGACAACACATGAAGTTTATCTGCGTCCACAACACCCTCAACTTCACAGTGTTTAATCGTCGGAAAAACTTCCAGCCCCGACTTACTATGAACAACTTTCGAGGACTTTCGCCAGTAAGACTGTCGGGGTTTATGTTTAGCCAAAGAGACTCTAATTTTGTTGCCGTAAATATGATAACCATTCATCTTAGAAATCGATGTCCTTGCTTCTTCAATTGTAGCAAAGCGAATAAACCCAAAACGAACCCCATTCGAGTTTCTTTTTTTGGGAATGAAGGCATCAATAACTTGACCATGTGAGCCAAATATGGATCCAAGTTTCTTCCAATGGATCTTCTCTGGAAGGTTTTCGATAAAAATCGTGTAACAATCCTTTCTGGACCCATTGCGAAAATCTGGTTGGCCTTCTTTCGACCGATTATAAAACCCATTTCTTCTTCTTCCCACCACTTCGGAAAATTTTGCATCGGAATACCCTTTCGAATAGATTTCCTTGGCACCACCATGATCAACATTAGCGACTGGAAGCGTTGGTGTTGCGTGAACAAAAGACAGCTTTCCGTTCCTATGTTTCCCTTCTTGTGAGCATTTCTTCAAAGGACTGGATGATAGTGGACTTTCACCCGACCTCGCCGAAAATGATCCCGAATTTTGTTGATTTTGGGTTGAAGGAGAGTGTCTGTAAGTGGTGCCGTCGGACTCAACTATCCAACCCGCCTCACGTGCCAAGGCTGCCAAAACATCATTCTTAGCAGCATTCGGTGGAATAGAGAAGTTACCAAACTGTCTCAATCCGGCCAACAGGCGTCTGGTAAAATCTCTTCTTTGCGGTTTCCGTAACCTTGTCCTCTCCTTTTCATTCTCAATTTTACGATTGTCCTTACCGGAGTAAGATGAAGAGGCTGCACCAGCGGATCCAGATTTCTTGAGAAGACTGCCTCGTGGAACTGCATTTTCCTTCATTTTTAAATCATTAACCCGCTTATTCAACTCTGCCACTAATGCTTTAAGAGCCTTCACTTTCGCTTCTAATTCCTTGGCAGACTCCAGGGGGAAATCACCAGCTGCAACACGGCAGTCTGGTTCAAGCGGGAGATGAGAACTCCTAGACGAAGAAGGAGGAACAATAGGAGGCCTCACGGAGGAAGCAGCCACCGCACCAGCTGAGTCAAACCCTCGAAGTTGGCTGGGTTGAGACGTGGGTTGGGGTTCCATGGTGAATACTCAGCTGTACACCACTGCTCGACACAAGAGAAGACGGGATTAGGTCACGTTTAGGCACTGCGCTGGGTTGAGTGGCGGAGGTGAACTCGGACGGCTGGAGGCTTCGAAAATCTGCAGAGGGCGAGTGTAGATCTGCGACTAAAGACAGCGTTTTTCGCAAATGCAAGTCCAGATCTGTATTCACCGTGAGCAGACGACCATCCTAGGAAAAAGCGGCGTCAAACGGTGGTCAGAGTGTGGCGGCGGACGGCTGACGGCGGCGGCAGACGGCGGGCGGCGGCAGCGGCCAGCAGGCAACAGACGAATGAGACAACACTTTTAAATTTAAAAACACCTGGGCCCTAGAGAGAAGCGGGAACTTCTCTCACTAGTTATTTTTTTTCTGTTTTTAATATTCACATTCTTCTTTTTAGAAGTTCTTTTTTTTTCTGTATCTCATCATAGCTACTTTTATTTAAATGTTCTAAAATAGTATATATTCAAAACTAGGGCAAAAAAAGAAAGAAACTACATAAGAACGAGAAGTTAATGCAAAAAGAAAAGGGAGAAAGCCATACTTAGAATTGTAATAATAAAACAATATATATTTAATAGTCATGAATATAAAATTTTGCTACCATTATGCAACTTACTATAGACCGAATGGATTTAAATTTGCAATATATTTTTACATTGTAATCTGAAATTTAATCATATCATTGATTGTTTAATTGATAGGTGTCAGTTAATGTATTACTTCCAAGACTTTAAAAATGTTAAAACTAATTTGATTTTGTAAAAATAAGTGATTTTGCTTAAACAAAAGAGTTCACATTGATCTATTAAGGGAAGATTCAACATCATATTTATATTAGTTGATCTTATTTTTCAAATGCATCACTGATTCGACGAAATTGACGAAATTTGATTGCATTAGCATCCTTCATTGAAACAAAACATAAATCAGTACATAAGATTTTTACAAATATAAATTTATGATAAATGTACACAGCATTGCATGGTCTTATTTCTGGTTGACTATAACTTTAGTGGCTTGCTCCAAAAATCAATTGCCCTCGTCAAGCTTATAATACGGGGCAAGATTAGAATGAATAAAATTTGGGCTAAATGTGCCGGCTTAATTATTCCTTGCTGCGGCATTCCGATTTCAAATTCAATTTAGGTACCTACATAGGTAAGCTAACATAATTGATCTGTTGTTCGGTGTTGTTTCTTGATGCATCTTGGACAGAAGTGATACTTTGATTGGCTTTTATATTTGTCTTATGCAATTTTAGCTTTGCTGCTGGAGTCCTTTTCTTCTGAATGTTACTTACAATTTTGTTAATTTGATCGCATTGGTACAGTACATCAAGAGAATGTTCAAACTGCCCCCATAGTTCTGTGAGGCACTTTTGTTGGTGGAATAAGGTGAGTTTGCAATCCTTTAGATTTCCATTAGTGTTGGTTCTGATAATATTTTACAGACTTCTTTATTCTGAATATCTTTAAAATCTTAGTATGTCGCTACACCAATACAAAATCATGGAAATGGTGAGATTGGAAAAAGAGCTATGATATTGCTAAAGCACAAAATTTTGAAGAACATTGTCTTAAGACGTACGAAGAAAGGCAGGGCCGCTGATCTTGCCCTTCCTCCTAGAATTGTAAGTGATTTTGATACATACATGTTCTCAAACATGCACATGCCCAAATACAAACACAATCTCGCATAAATGGTGAATTGTTGTTTGTTCTTAAAATTCCTGTTATACTTCTTCTTCCAATGCCCTCATCCTGCAGATCTCATTAAGGCGGGACACCATGGATATTAAAGAAACGGACTATTATGAATCATTGTACAGTGAAAGTCAGGCACAATTTAACACGTAAGTTACCATATAGATCTTTAGCTTTTATTGTGGAATTGATTGAAAGCACCTAGTGGTGTACAACTCTTGGTTGAAAAAGATAGATATCCTTGGAAATACTTGCATTGTTGTTCAAAAGAAAAGATCAAGAAAATTCTATTTAACTAGGAATGGATTGCTCGTATCACCACTGATCACTTGGACTACTTAAAATAAAGCTTTATTTGCAAGAAAACGTAGTAACTTTACTTGCAAGAGAGTCTAGTATTAATAAGTTGTAAGCTTTACTGCCAACCTCATTATTATTCTTATTATTTTCTTCGAACTAATAGAGAGAAACAAGAGGATTTTGTTAACCCTTCGATTTCTAGAGTTCCAACTCTCTTGCTTGTTTGTTCAGCTCTAATTCTATTGATTCACTATTGTTTTTTGGAAGTACTTATATCCCTTCTACCTCACTTGTAAACTTCCGAGGAGTCTGAGAGGGAACTCATGCATTTTAGGATTACGGCCAAAACAACAACATATATAGGAAATGGTTTATATTGTATTTGAAAATAGAGTAATTGATTCAGGAACAGAAGGGGATTCAAAAATGAGTGAGAGAGAGAAAAACGTAGAGAGAGAGAATTTTAAAAAAAAGTCAGTTCCCGATGAGTGTTGGTCGGCGTTTATCGACAATCTGAGCAGGAGGGTTTCTCGTCATACTCTTAAGGAATTATTCTTAGTCCATGGTCCGGTTATGAGAGTTTTCATTCCCAATCAAATTAGAAATCCTAAGTACAGATTTTCCACCTTTGCTTTTGTTCATTTTAAGAGGGAGGAAGATTTAAGGAGGGCTGTTGATAAGTTAAATGGGATTGTGATTGATGGAAGGAAGATCTTAGTTAGTCCTGCCAGATTTAAGGATGATCGTTCAAGGTCAAGGGTGGTGCTTACTTCTTCAAACGAGGCTTCAGGTCAGATTTTTGCAGATTCTTCGAAATCAAGAGAAAGAGAAAATATTATCAGAAGTAGAAGGGACGATAGAACTTATAGGGATGCTCTGATGTCAAATGGGATTACAAGGGGGTATAAAGAACTATTGTCTGAGGATGTCCAAAGGAGGAATGTCAAGAAAAACATTATGGAGATGCATATTCCATCAGAAAGTGCCAATTGGGTGAAGAGGTCGTTAACAGGGATTATCAAATACTCGTTTCAAGTTGAGTTCATTCGGAATGCCTTATTTAAGGAAGGCTATGATGTTCAAATTGCTAGATGGGGTTATGTTTGGAACTCTTGCGTTTTAGTTCTCAATTCCCATGAGGAGATGCTGGATTTATGGAGCAAAAAGGAAGAGGTTTTAAAACAGTGGTTTGAACGAGTGGAACCTTTACTGAATGAGGCCGGAGTTCCCATGGCCTTCTGCATGACAGAATTAATAGGGGTTCCTTTGTTATGCTGGAATGAATCTTTCTTTGAGAAAATGGCTGGGAGATGGGGCAAAGTGGTAGGTATTCATGAGAGTACAAGGAAAAGAGAAGACCTTACAATGGCAAGAATTTTATTGAGGGTGGAAAGCCCCTTTGATGTTCCAGAGGTGATCACTCTTGGATCTTATGGAAGATCATTCAAAGTAAGTATTAAGATTGGATCAGCAAGTGAGTATTCAAGTTCGTTTTTCAGTAATTTTCCGGTGGAGGATTCCGATGAGGCATTTTCTGAAGAAATTAGGTCTGAGGAGGAGGTAGACAGGCTGTTGTCAGATCATGGGGAAGGGGAGGCAGGTGCAGCAAGGAAAAATCGTCTGTCAGTGGACAATTGGATTGAGCAGGGTGTGTTCAGTGGTTCTGGAGGAGTTAGTGAGAATAGACAGCTAGCAAGGCTTCCCTTAGATAGGAAAGGTATTAAATGTAGTATGCCAGAAAGTCAAAAGGTTGGGAGTCTACAAGTTGGTGAGTTTGCAGGTTTGGGGATTAGAAGTCAACATTATTCGGCTGATGGGTCTCAAGCCCATTCTGAAAATTCTGGGCAGTCTGGGTCAAAAGATTTTTCGGGTTTCATTTCTGGGCCAGCATATATAGTTAATAAGTTTGGGGATTTTGTGGAGAACCTTAATTTAGATGGGAAAAACAGGAAAACGTTTAAAGTATTGGAGAAGAGCCCAATTACAGAGAAGGTGGTTAATGCAGAAATAGAGGCTGAAGAAGAAAGTTTAAGGTTGGTTGATCCGGTTACAACTAATTTAGGAAACATCTCAAGGGGGAGACAGTTACACCGCTCTAGAAGAAAGGTCTCATCTGAGAGTGAGGTGCTGGAAACTAGAAGTTTGAGCAGTTGCAAAAGGGTCTATAGCAGGTCGAGGGATAGAAGATATTGGTATGGAGATTTGTTGAACTTTACGAATGAAAAAGGTGGCACCAAGGTGGGGCAGAGGAAGTTGGATGTGGACTCCAGCATTGCAAATCAGATTTGTTTTTCAACAGAGCTCATTGCTGATGGGAGTCTTCTTCCTAGCTCTGTTAATGGTCTTGGGGATGGGACCGTAGAGCGGGAGATTGAAGGTTACTGTTCTGAAGGTGAATGCTTAAGACCCAAATCTGGTTTGTTAATTAGAAGGAAGAGGAGAGCTAGAAGGATCCTGTTTCGAGAAGCTCTTGACCAGGTGAGCATTGATACAGCATCCTCCTCAGCTTTCTCGAGTTTATTGAAAGAAGCTGTTGAAACTTGGGAGGTTAGTAAGCTTTTGGGAGTATCTTTTAAGGAAGGGAAAGAAGCATTTTTGGAAAAAATCATAGCTCTAGAGAAAGGCTTGATTGGGATTAATCAAGGTTTGGTTGATTGAGGGTTTTGTTTGTACCTTGTTCCCTTTATGAAGATGTCAAAGTTAGTAATATGTTCATGGAATGTTAGGGGTCTGGGGAAAAATGAAAAAAAGAGGGCTGTTCAGAATTTAGTCACTAGCTTAAATCCTACTTTCCTTTGGTTACAAGAAACTAAGACTGAAAAATTTAAGAGGTCTTTCTTTAGGAGAAGTGGGATTAATAAGCTTAAAGGAGTTTTGGAATCTCCTTCAGTTGGATCAGCGGGGGGCCTGTTGTGTTGTTGGGATGACAATATCTTTGAGTTGGAGAGTCAGTTTATTAGTAGGAGATTTATAGCTACCTTTGGTAAATTCCGGAATAAAAACTTCAGTTGTGGTTTCATTAATGTATACGGTCCAGCAGTGGAGGAAGAGAAAGCTGATTTTTTTGAAGAATTAAGCAGTTTTCTTAGTGGACAGAATTTTCCAGTTTGTGTGGGAGGGGACTTCAATGTTTATTTACAAGAAAATGAGAAGATGGGCAGAGGCCAAAGTAGGAGCTCAATGGAGATCTTTAATGACTTCATTCTTCATACGGGCTTAATTGATCTTCCTTTGAATGGGGGAAGGTTCACTTGGTGTAATAACCAAGAGAATCCCACGTTTGTAAGATTAGATCGTTTTTTGGTTGACAGTCAATTTCTAGCGTTATTTCCGGACATTTCACAGTCTCTTCTACCAAGATCATTGTCAGATCACAATGCCATAATTCTTGTGAATAAAGGAGTGGACTGGGGTCAAAAACCGTTTAGAATGTTCAACTATTGATGGATGAGGAGGGTTTTGAGGATATGGTTATTTCTTCTATTCAGAGTTCTAAGAAAAGTCAGAAGAAGGCAGGTGCTTTTAGTCTTTTAAGGAGTGCCAAACATGCAATTAAAAAGTGGTCTGGAAACAGAGATAAGTATCCAGGAGACTTGATTTCTGAGTTAGAGAAGAAAATTTCGAAGATAGAGGCTGATATTCAACAAAAGCAGGGTGCTGTCGATAGTGAGGTATTAACTGAGTTGAATAATTGTAGAGCAGAATTGTGGAAGCTGCACAAGATCCAAGAGCAGATTTGGTTTCAGTATTCGAGATCTAAATGGATTGAAGACGGGGATCGCAACACTAAATACTTCCATTCCTGTGCTACGGTTAGGAAGAAGAGGAATGCACTGGTGGCACTTAATTTTAGAGGAGAAATAGTTGAAGACCCAATTGCTATTAAGGACATTGTGAAGGATTATTTTTTTAAGATCTACAATAACCGATCTACTCTAGAAATTGATGAATTAAATCTGGATTTTTCCAGAATTTCTTTGGAGCAGAATCAGTTCTTAGAGCAGGAATTTTCAGAGGAGGAAGTTTGGGATGTTGTGAAGTCTTGTGGAAGTAACAAAGCTCCGGGTCCCGATGGCTTTAATATGGGTTTTTTCAAGAGGTTTTGGCAGGTACTTAAGGAAGATATTATGACCTTCTTTAAGAAGTTTTACTTGGGAAAGGATTGGGAACATGGAATAAATCACACTTTCATCACTCTTATTCCGAAAATTTCAAACATTGGTGGTTTGGACGATTTTAGACCTATTAGCTTAGTGGGTGGTTTGTACAAGATCCTCTCTAAATGTCTGTCAAGGAGACTTAGGAGCTGCATTTCAGATTTGATCAGTCCATGTCAATTCGCTTTTATTCCCGGTCGACAAATCTTGGATTGTTCCCTTATAGCCAATGAAGGGATTGACTTTTGGAAGAAGAATGGTTTAAAAGGATGTGTTTTTAAAGCTGATTTCAAGAAGGCATATGATACTCTTGACTGGCCTATTTTGTTCAGAATTATGAAGGAAATGGGATTTGGTTCTAGATGGATAGGGTGGATTTCGAAGTGCATCACTTCAGCAACTGTTTCAGTCTTGGTGAATGGGGTTCCAACCGAGGAAATCCCAATGGCTAAGGGTCTTCGTCAAGGCTGTTCGTTGTCTCCGTTGTTGTTTAATATAGTTGGGGAACTATTGAATTTATTGATACTTAAAGCTGTTTCAGGGGGTCTCTTTTCGAGTTTGATGATTACAAATGGGGAGAAGAATTTTAATTTAACACATCTACAATTTGCTGACGACCTTATAATATTCTGTGGTGCGTCGAAAAAACAGATCTTGAATGTGAAGAGGGTGCTTCGAGTGTTTGAGATTATTTCTGGACTTCAGTTGAACTTGAAGAAGTGCAAATTGTTTGGGGTGAATTTAAGGGAAGAGGAAATTAAGGATTGGGCAACTACGATTGGATGTTCAGTGGGTTATTTTCCCTCTGAATATTTGGGACTCCCTCTTGGTCCACACAGGAACTCTAACATTCTGTGGGATCCAGTGGTTCAAAGCTTCAATAAGAGGTTAGCAGGCTGGAAAGGCTCTTCTTTGTCACTGGCGGGCAGGCTGGTTTTGATTAAATCAGTCCTATGTTCACTTCCTATATACTATTTGTCATTATTTAAGGTACCAGCTTCAGTATACAAGACCCTAAACTCTATTATGTCAAATTTTTTATGGGGTGGAGGAGGTGGGAGAAAGAAAATCCATTGGGTAAGCTGGTCCAACGTTTGTAAACCAAAAATTGAAGGAGGCTTGGGAGTTCCTAATTTAAATACGATGAATAGGGCTTTATTGGAAAAGTGGGCTTGGAGGTTTGCTATGGAGAGGAAGGCAGTTTGGAGGGAAATGATTTGCACTAAATACAAATTGGATTCTTCATTGATGCAGCTTGATAGTAAGGTTTCTCCTAAATCTTCTTGGATATGGAGATCTTTGGTGAATAATCATTTTAAAGCTGATTCGATGGGCTGTAGTATCAGAAGCAATTATAGCTACAAAATTGGCAATGGGAGGAATATTCGGTTTTGGCAAGACAATTGGGCATTGGATCATCCTTTGAGGGTCATGTTCCCTAGACTATTCTCTATTGCAGTGAACAAAACCGGAAGATTATTTCAGTTTGGGGATTACAGTTCTGGGGGCTGGTTTTGGAACGTCCAGTTGAGAAGGGAGTTGAATGACTGGGAATTTGAACAATGGTTAAACTTGATGGCTGTTATTTCAGAATTTTCTGTTTCTACTGATGCGGTTGATGGACTGTTGTGGAAGGGGAATGGAGAAGGGGTTTTCAATGTTAAATCATGTGCCAATCTATATTATTCGGGTATTTCTGATTTGGAGGAAGCTAATTTTTGGAAATCTATTGTTTGGAGGGGCATGCTGCCTCCAAGAGTGGAGACTTTTCTTTGGCAAGTTATCTTAAAGAAGCTGGCAGTGAAGACAGCTCTGGTTAAGAGAGGTGTTCAGGGCATAAATGATTCTATGTGTCCTTTTTGTAATCTAGAAGAAGAGTCTTCATCTCATCTATTTTTTTCATGTTCGGTTGTTTGGCCAATATGGACTAAATTCATGGGTTATTGGAATTTTCAGTCTGTTTTTCATGAAGATGCAAAAAAATTCCTAGTAGCATGGACTAACCTAAAGACCAACTCTCTGATGTGGTCATTTATCCCTGGAGTGGTCTTATGGACAATATGGAAAACTAGGAATTATATAGTGTTTGAAGGAGGGAAGTTTGATCGAGCAGAAATATTCTATCTAGCTAGGTGCAGGCTTGCTTCATGGTTTCTAGCTAGGGAAACTCAGATTTCTATTTCCAAGGATGCTCTTATTGCCGACCCGTCCTTAGTGGATTCTTGCTCGTCTTATACTAATCGGATTTCATCTAAGGTTCCTTGGTCCCCTCCTCCAGAAGGTTTTATTAAACTTAATGTGGATGCGGCTACTTCTAGTGATTGGAAGAGGAGTGGTTTAGGTGGCGTTCTGAAAGATAGTTCTGGTTCGATTCTCGGCTCCTTCAAAGACCCTGCTGGTCCGGGACCTCCAACTTTGATGGAATTGAAAGCTATCCTAAAGGGGTTATTTTATTATGAATCTATTCGCCACAAATTTAAAGAGAGATTGATTATCGAGAGTGATAGTAAGGTGGCAATTGGTTGGGTCAAGGATGTTGGTTCTTGTCCTGTCGTTTATGTTCAAGTTGTTAAGGAAATTATTCAAAAGCTTAGTGTTTATGAAGGTCTTATTAGATGGGTTAGTAGAACAGCCAATATAGAGGCGGATGTTCTAGCTAAGTCTGGTATTGGTTGAGTATTATGTTCTATTAAGGGCTGGTTCTTTTTGGCTTTTTATCTCTGGAGGGAGATTAGACATTGTATTACTTTGTAATGTTTTAAGATTAATGAACTCCTAGGGCACTCTTTTCCTCCTTCCGCTGATTAAGGAACTATTTTCAAGTTCCGTTAATCATGAAGGGGGTTTTTAGTGAGGCCTACTATTCCTATCAAAAAAAAAAAATTCACTATTGTTTTCCCCTCAACCATTCCAATATTGACCATTCCCCATCACAGCGAAATTAAGGCTGTTCATATTTTTCTGAATGGTCTGAAAAATATAGTTCAAGTTACTCCTTTGATATTGTCTTAGGTATTTGAAGCTCTAAAAGATGGTTTTTCGTTTTATGGTCTTATGCTTTGTTCTTTGCATTTTTCATGTTCTCTTCTTGCAGATATGTTCAAGCAGGAACTGTAATGAACAATTATGCTCACATTTTTGACCTCCTCACACGCTTGCGGCAGGTGAGCAAATCTTTAGCTACATCAGTGGATGAAACATTCTTCTATTATGAGTTTTCCCTCCTATGGGGTTAATCAAACAGTGCTTATCGAATCAAGTTGAAACTTGGCATGCTGATCTACAAAGCATAAAATTGGATCTGATACTTAGTCTTATAAAATGATATTAAGGGTTTATACTCATATATGTTCATCCTCTTTCTGACTTGCTCACATATGCAATACATCTTTTGGAATTTGGACTCAGTAGGGTGTTAATATATTTTTAATCAATAAATATATTGATAATAAATTGCATATCCTTCAACTGTTGGCTTTATTCGTTTTATCAACTTATGCATGAATCCTATTGGTTTGTATTCCATAATTTGTAAGCTTTAATTCTGGTTTATATTGTGTTTTTCTTCTGAATTCGAGTATGTGTAATTGTAGCCTGAATCAGATTTTTTGTGTAATTATATATTTAATTATTTGTGCAAGGTGATTTTCCAAAAAATTATTATGGAGTGATGTAACATCAATGCTTTTTTGAAGATGATGTGTGATCAAGGTTTGATACATCCAAAGGGATTTTGTCACTTGGTGACTGTTTAGCACAGTTGGAAGGTGTGGTGGGGAATCCCCCTCACTGCCCTGGACCAGTAGTGGATTAGATGGGGTCCAGGTGGGACTGGGAGGTGCTCCTCACCTCCTTCATGATGTGCTAAATGGGAACATAGATAAGACCAAGATGTTGATACCTTCACTATCACCCTTAGCAAACATCCCTGTGGTAAACCTTTTTATAAGAAAATGAAATAGAAAATGGAAAATAAATGTCTAATTTTTTATACCGGTCTGTTCAATCAATGTTATGTGCAAAATTATAGGCTGTTGACCACCCTTACCTTGTGGTATATTCGAGTACTGCTGCACAAAGAGCTGGAAGCATAGCAAACTGTGATAGGAATAATGATGAACAAGTATGTGGCATTTGCAATGACCCTGCAGAAGATCCAGTGGTGGGTTACCCTTTCTGTTTGTTCTGTGTAGTGTTTTCTTCCTTTACTTCTTCCTGGCCTTATAAACATGTAAAGCTCGAAACGGATAAACTTATCCATCCATTCAATTGTCATATTTGAGCACATGGTAAGAATAAGATGTCACTAAAAAGATAATAAAATAATCGCTACAAATATCCAATTAAATGTGAATGCAGAATATGTTTCTGTTTTGTTTGAACTTACTGGTTCTGATTGTTCCAGGTTACCGCGTGTGAACATGTCTTCTGCAAGGCTTGTCTGATTGATTTTTCTGCCTCCGTGGGACATGTCTCATGCCCCACTTGCTCAAGATTACTTACTGTTGATCTGACTACGAATGCGGATGCTGGAGGGCAATCTTGTAGGACAACACTGAAGGGATTTAAATCCTCAAGTATTCTAAACAGGATACAATTAAATGATTTTCAGACAAGCACGAAAATAGAGGCTTTGGTATGTCTTATTGTGATTCATTAAATGCTAAAAAAGTTGCTAGACAATTTTGAGAGGATAACATCTCTACTATATGCTCAACCATTGTTTGCAGCATGTAGAAGAGTTGTTAATGGCTATTATATATCTCTTCATTATCATTTATTGGCATGACATTACTGGATGGTTTAGCAGAAACTTCTTATAAGTGGTAAAAAAACTTCCGAAGATGGCCTTCTAAAAGTTGGTTTGGAGTTCCATTTGGCATGTATTGATATAGTAAATTATTTGCAAATCCCATTGACTGGGAGTGGCTTTATGTGTATACTACGTTTTCATCAAAGTTGCAAACCTTTGCATTTTGAACTTCAATATTGTCTCATGTTATGCTGCAGCAGCAGTGGTATTTATATAAACTAGAAGCAGCTGCATTTCATTGTTAAGATAAATGGATGATAACAGAGATAAATGAAAGAAACAGGAAATACTATATTCAATAGCATGGAGGGTTTACTTATAGAGTATTGAATCTGGGCTCATTGTACATGCAGTAATACTATTGCTGCTGCTATTGACGGTATTACTATTATTTTTATTTTTTGTTACTGATCATTATTATGACCTACAGCAAATTTGCCTCTATCGCATGCCATATCTATATTGTTTACTGTTTACACCTTGATCCTCTCTGCTAACAGAATTTTCATGATTTTAGAGGGAAGAAATCAGATTCATGGTGGAAAGAGATGGCTCTGCCAAAGGAATAGTTTTTAGCCAATTCACTAATTTCTTGGATCTCATAAGATACTCCCTCCATAAGGTTTCTACAATGAGAAACAAAACAAATTCTATTATAGTTCTTTACAGCAGCTGAGAAAAGACGTCGTTATAATAGATTGGCCTGTTTTGCAGTCCGGCATAAATTGTGTTCAACTGATAGGGAGCATGACCTTGGGTGCACGAGACGCTGCAATCAAAAGTTTTACTGAGGATCCAGATTGCAAGATATTTCTCGTGAGTTTAAAAGCTGGAGGGGTTGCCCTTAATCTCACAGTTGCATCACATGTAAGCAATATCTTGTGAAATGCTTGTTCAGCTTAATATCTTTTGGTATCAGTATGCAAAAACTGATATTTTGGAACTGCTTTCTCTTACTGGGATTATTAAAATGGTTGTCTTTAAACCTGTTAGGTTTTCTTGATGGACCCTTGGTGGAACCCAGCCGTGGAGCGCCAAGCACAAGATAGAATACACCGAATAGGGCAATGTAAACCGATAAGGTTGGGTTTTGTTTGTCTCTTTCAATTTCACCCTTAAAGATTGTAAGAAAATGTGAGACTGGTTTGACTTAAGGAGATCAATGCATCTGCTTGTGTGATATAGGATTGTCAGATTTGTTATTGAAAACACCATAGAAGAGAGGATATTAAAGCTGCAAGAGAAGAAGGAATTGGTATTCGAAGGGTAAGAGTTAGTTTTATAATGTGGTGTGAATAATAATAATAAATAGAAGTGTCTTGGGGAATTGGACAATCATTTTATATTTGAATGTTGTGTGTTGTGTAGGACCGTGGGTGGCTCCACAGAGGCTCTAGGAAAATTGACGGAGGCAGACATGAGATTTCTATTTGTCACTTGAGAGCTGTGCTGGAGCTGGATTGTCATAATATTGTAATGAAATGTACTACCAACTCCTTGCTTGTTTCTGTAATTAGCCAGTTACATTGCACTTGCCTTTGTTTTACTTTTGGAACTAAACTAACGAATTTGTTCAATACCGCCGCTGCCATTAACATGCTCTCTCATAATACTCTAATGAAATAAAAAGTCATTTGGGATGGTGGGTTAGAGGGTCTGTTACTAATGACAAATCTCATCTCTAAAGGAAGAGCAATGGGATCAACTCCTCATTTGCTACGTTAGGGATGGTGCTACAAGTTATGTATGGGGGAAGAGAGAGGGGTTGACGTCCTATTTCAATTTTTATTTGCATTTATCCGTCAATTTTAAAACATCAACACGCCAAAATTGTATCAATCAATTTTATATTTTTCCAATTACATAAAGTTAATTATGTTATACGTGTTATGGTTATAATTATAAAACTTATTTAACCAACCTTTTTTCCTAAGCCAAAAAAATATTAATTAAAACCCCCGAAATTGGGTTACAGAATTAGGAGATACCGTACAACCGAACATAACCTTTGATAAACCGCAAGCAACTAAAACCAAAGGTTAAATACATGGGTGGTTATTTTTGTTTACGGTAGGTCTCATTTGAATTATTGATTTTTGAAAAATATTATGTTTTGATCACTTATATCGAACGTAAATGTCTTTATTCTAATTATTAAATCATTAATTTCTAATACTTTGACGATTTAATATATTAATAAAAGTAACAATTTTAAAATTAATCCTTAAACTTGTAGGATTTCATTTTTTTCCCTCTTAAGAAAATTGTCCCCCCAACCCCCAATATTTCTCTTCACTAGCCAAATCCTAACTTTATGTTTGTTATTGATGTTGTCTCCAACGAAAAGGAACTTCAAGGAGATTAGGAGTTATCTCAATAACCACAGCTCCAATAAAACCTAACTTTAAACTTGACCTTGAGCCCTGTATACTCTCTGCTTCTTATCTCCTTATCGGACGATCCCATTTAATTTTCTTTATCGATAAATTTTATAATTAATTATTTACATATATGTGCATGATGATTAATTTTTTAAATTATATAAAAAAATTATTTATTTTAATAATATATATGCTATTTAAGGTTTAATTGCTTATAATTTAGAATTTAGAGTATAGATTTAAAGTTTAGGGTTTAAGAGTTAAAGGAATTATCTTTTAATAGTATTTGGTGATTACAATGTAGTATCTACTTGCAACTTCATTAATCTATTGACAACGCATACACCTTATCTTGCAAACACCGCTGCTCGAATATAAAATGTCTAGAAAAATTAATATTCTTTATTTTCTCAATGAGTTCGGAGTTAAGAACTTAGTTTACACAACTTATATATCAAATAATAATCTTTAAATTTAAAATATTAATGATATGACAATCAATACGTGAATGAATTACAATCTAACAATCAAATTGAAAATAAAATCTCATTTAACATTATTTTTAGGGCTAAAAATATTTTAAGAGTAAGAAATAATGTGTAAAATATTAAAATTAAAATTTTCAATATTTGAAAAAGTACTTTTAAAATCAAAATTGCAGTTTTAATCTCTATTTTGTTATCCTATAATATGTTTATTTTATAATTTATAAATTTATATTTTTATTAATATATAATTAATAAATTATTTATAAATTTAAATTTTCATATATAATTTTATGAAAGACGAACAACAGATAATTGTTGGGCTGGATTTAGACTCTCAAATGTGTAATTGTGAGGGCCAGTCCTAGCATTCAATACACAGATCCTTCTTTTTTTTTCTGATGCCAACAATAGAATTCCAAACATTTGTGCTTGTTTGTCAACTTTTGAACTAATCGCTCAGATCAGAATAGGTTAAGAGTGTGATTTACCAATTGATTACTTTTCACTGAGAAATAAATCCATTCGTCTACTCTGAAAACAGAGTAGTGACAGGAGCAGGGACATCATCAAGAAAGCAAACCCTCTGTTTTACAAATTGAACGTGGAAAAAACAATGAGATCTCGGTCTCAAAAGAAATCCGTGCTTCTCCCTCTTGTTTGCGCGGCTGCATTATTTTCTCTTCTTATTTTCGGAATCCAATATTCTTTCTTCTCAGGTATTTTTTTTGAATCGTTATTTCTCAACTATTGATTTTTTCTTTACTTAAATCATTCTTGGTTTTCAGGTCCTATTAACAAAAACGTAGATCTTAGTAAAGAACAAGTACGCGTATCAGATCTCAACTCCCAGGAAATCCGGATTTTATCCGAGTTTCAAACCAGCGTTCAACAATGCGTGGTTAGTTTCTTCCCCTATACTTTGAAATTTCTATTTATTTTTATTAGATTTTGTTTTCCATGAAATTGAAATATTTAACACCAAATACATGATAGTCATATTGAAGTCCGGCACAGTAATCCTCCTCTTCCAATCGTTTTATTAACTGCAACCATTTTTAGCTTGTTTATCTTGATTTCAAGTATTTACGTTGTGCAACGTTAATTTGCTCAATCTTTCTAATAGTTGGAACCTCAATTTGCATTTTGTGTGATCAAACCATCCAAAAAAAATTTCACCTATTTTTACACCATTGATCTCAAACTTAAAGTTCAATGCAAATAACTTTTTTTTTAACTGTGTTTTACGGCCTGGGCTGACTACACATTGGAGCTTGACCATCGAGTGTGATCAAATCTTATCCATTCAATTTAAACCCCCTAGCTTTATGGAGTTTGTCTTCCCAATCCTAATTCAGTATTAATGAATTCTTTGATCTTATGCGAGTATTATACACCTAAATATTTCATCTTGAATGTCTTTTATTAACTCATCTATTGCTATGTCAAAGAGCAAAAAGAACTCAAATGCGGTTCTTGCTACACATTTACTATAATAAAGAACTCAACCTTCAATCCACTCCAAGTTTTTACATTGTAACTACATTTCACATATCCCGTACCATACTAAGCATATGAGAGGAATTGCTTTTTTGTTCACAAACATCTCTAGGTACTCTATTATAAACTTGCTCCAAATCAATAAAAATCATGTATAAATCTTGTTCTAACACTAATTCTCTCAATAAGTACACACAAGAGATGAATCGCTTCTATGTTTTATCATCAAGGTACAAAATGAAATTGATTTTCCACAATTTAAGTTTATTGTCGTAAATGTTGTTCAATAGCTTTTTCTTCTTTCAAGGTTATGCTTAATATACCTAATAGTTCCTACATTCTAGTGTTTTCTCCATCATCGGCCAAGCATTTAAATATCCTTCTCTCCATTCCTTTGAGTCCAATCTGTCACAAATATACTCTCATTTTAACCTCCTGTACAACTTTTTTGGTTTCTTTCTTTGCCAGCTTATATTTCTCTAAGCTCTCTGTATCCATGCTATTGCCCTAGCTTTTACAACCAATTCGTTTATTCTTAATAGTTGTTTTTCTTCATTCCACCATTTTATTCCATAGTACATCAGGTTTGAAATTGTCTTCTCATTTAACCTCTTGAGCTATCCTATCCATTAAAAATGCTTGTGTGTCTCTGTTTCAACCTATTGCATTTAGTCCTAGGATCGTAGGTCTTGCTTTCTTGTACCTATTAATAAAATGAACACCTAAACCTAGAAGCTGATGATATGTAGCAACACTTACCCCTGCTCACCTTGCAGTCAACGCAACAACTCCTCCCTCCCTTCTGATCGGAAAGAATCTATTTGACTGGCCTTCCCTCCACGGTTATGGGTTATTAGATGGAAGTCACTTTTCCTAAACCAAGTGCTCGCTAAAATCAGGTCTTAAGATACAACAAAAGCTAGGATGATGTTCCCATCTTGTTTCTATTCCATGTTGCATAAAATGATAATGAAAATACTTTGATTATTTTTGTTGAATCTAAATGCTGATTTTGTCTAGAATTTTATGAGTTTGTGTGTTGATGATTGTATATTTTTTGTGAAAGTCTGAATTTACTGAACTTGAATTCGATGTAGGCAAATAGAGGACTTGGGCTCACTGCACATATTATCAATCATTGCAAATTGATTCTTAAGTTTCCCGAGGGCACAAACAGCACCTGGGTCTGGTTCTTTCCTTATTCTCAATAATGCATCCCCCTCGCTCTTTTTGCTCTTCATTTATGTTAAATGCATTTGTGTGCTGATTGTTAAGCCTCTATAATTGCAGTATAATGAGCAGTTTAAGATTTATGAACCATTGGAGTATAGTTATGATGTTTGTGATGCCATTCTCTTGTGGGAACAGGTTAATGTCCTATCCTTTTCCTTTTATATTTGTCCACTGAGGAGTTATCTGTCATAATGATGTCTTTATAAATGCAGTACCGTAACATGACAACAGTGTTGACCAGAGAATATCTAGATGTCCGGCCAGACGGATGGTTGGGATATGCTGCAAAAAGGATTGCACAATTGTATGATTTTCTAGACACATATACAATGGCTTATATTTTCCAATTCTCAGATTTGGTTATAAGCAAGATTGCTGTAATAATTGTTTTTTGGAATTATGTGAGCTTGTGAACTGTGTTTGTTGTGGCTTGTAGGGGAGCTAATAAATGCTACAATCAAACTCTTTGTGAAGAACATCTTAATATCCTTCTACCAGCAAAACCCCCATTCCATCCACGACAGTTTCACACATGTGCAGTTGTTGGGAACTCAGGTGATCTCTTAAAGACTACATTTGGGAAAGAAATTGATAGTCATGATATTGTTATACGAGACAATGAAGCTCCAGTCAATGAGGTAAATTGGAAATATAACACCCAAATCGAGTTATCCAACTCTGATAACTTTCAATATTTTTTCTTTGTATTGATTTAGTTTTCCTTTATGTCACCCTAAGGAACGCAATAGATTATAAATAATTTCTCCTAGAAGCAATTAATTCTGTATGTATGTGTGTGCGCGCACATACATGTTCTACTAGGATTTTAGAGCCCCATTTACCTTTCTTAAACTTATCTGAATTAGTAGCAAATTTCACTCTGTTTTTTCATATGAGGCTACTTGGCCTTTGGTTCATTATTCTTCTGGCATATGTTGTTATCTAGTCTGTGAATGCTTATCTCCCTTATCACTCACTAAACAGAAATATGCTAAATACGTTGGTGTTAAGAGGGATTTCCGCCTTGTGGTACGGGGTGCAGCTTGAAACATGGTTAAGATTCTCAAGGGATCTGGTAAGTGCCCGTCAATGTTAATTTTGCTAATAAAGTCCTGGAATGCTTATTATGCATGCTCTTATGGCATGGTTGGATCAGGTATTTAAAGAAGCATTTCATTTCAATCAAGGTTGTCAAAAATTAAAAATGAATTTACTTGTTTGGATAAATGTATTGGAGAATTTCAAAATTTATGATGATTTTCGACAGGAGATTTGAGCCATTTCAAATTCCCTATTGAAATTCCACCAAAAAGAGGTTGTTTTTTAAAATCTCCTTTCACTTTATCCATTGCTCATCATTAATTTTAAACCTCGAAAAATTATCATTGAAGTTGACTTTATAAATATATTTTTGTTTGTCATCATTCTTTATTAATAATATGTATGCATTTTAACAAATCCAATGATACTTGTATTGCATATTGTCTAATATACATTTTTTTATTGTTCATATAATTATTTGTCTTTTAAATTTCTTTCATCTCATGAAATTCCAATAGCCTAAATTTCATTTTGAAGAAATATTTACCCCAACAAAATAATTATAAATGCTAGCATTTTGGAAATGCATTGACTTCATTTCAAATTTTAAAATTCCCCTTCCAATTTCACTGACTACATTTGCTGGGAAGAGAACGGTGCATCTCTCTGTATCTGTTTTATGAACATATATTCTATTTCTTGCCATAAAATGTGTGCCATTCATGTATCTATTGACTTCTTAATATGATGTTAAAACATAGTGACATAATTGTTTTTTCCATGCAGATGATGAGGTACTTATAATCAAGAGTGTCACCCATAGGGACTTTAATGATATGATAAAGGTGAGAATTGAGAATTTCATTTCAGGAAATAAATTATTTGTCAGTAGTTGGTTGTGTGATTAAGGAACAGAATTTAAAGTTGACTGCTATGATGGCTTATTTGACTTTGGAGTGCTAGATATCAGTTATCTGATCAAAACTGCAGCAATCCTTAAATTGCTGCCCTTAGTGTTATTATTTATTCTTATTTGCTGTTGGTACTTTTTCTTGCTAGATATCTTCTAGGAATTCTATTGTTCCTTGTGATGATTGTAAGAACATAGACTTGATTTGTATGTTGCTTTTGCCGTGTCAAATTAAAGTACTTTGTTGTTCTCTATCACAGACGATTCCAAATCCTGTTTATCTCTTTCAAGGAATTGTTCTACGTAGGGGTGCCAAAGGAACTGGAATGAAATCGATAGAGCTTGCACTTTCTATGTGTGATATTGTTGATATATATGGTTTCACTGTCGATCCAGGCTATACTGAATGGTCAGTTAATTCTTCTATTATTCTTTACTCATCTCTGTGGCTGTTCTCTCTTCCGACTCTAGTACCCCTCATCAAAGTTACATATAAAATTCCTTTTCTTTTTATTGGTTTCTCTACAATTGGTTTCAGATTTGAGGCTTAAAGCCCTTAAACATGTATCATATGCTGACATTGTTCTTAATTTTGTCTGTTCAAGAGAAGAAGAATGCCTTTATTAGTTTCTAATTTGCATTTTGAAGAATGGAAGTCAAAGTGATTTAGCCTTGGTGTCAATAAGTTTTTATTACTGGTTGATTGTTGTAGATGAAAGTTGACTTTTAAATATTACATTCTGTAGAAAACAGTAGATATACTTTTTCTTTTTTTTTTATAGAAATTGGAGGTCTCATTAAAAACTCCCTTCGTATTCGTCCACACACTAAGAAAGTATGTTAACGAACATTGGAAGGAAGAAAAGAGTACATCATATGTTATTAATAATAATACCCAATATATGAGAAAACACGGAATATCCTCCTATGGTGATATACACCATTACAACAAACACCTTAAACTCTCACATCCTCGACCAAAAACCACAATTGACAAATACCCTATTTCTAAGAAACACCTCCAGCATTAGGATAGCAAACACCTCAAAATAACATAATACAAAAGAAAAGCAACACCTGCAACCTTATACACTAAATCAAAGTGACAGTTGAAGAGACAGGATCTAAATGAGAATCGACTTCGTTAGGGACCTAGGAGTTTGGTTTGAATGAAGGCTCAATCTCATGCACCATGATTTTGAAGGAGTTGTCACCGACC